TCTTAACGTTCTGACCTTTTCACCATCGTGCCTCCTCCTCCTCCAACAGACCCATGCTCTTCCAGACCAGCGAGCATATTTCCAGCAGCCCAGCGGTGGGAGACATCATTCCCTACAGTACCATCATCCAGTTCTTATTTACGAGGGCGCCTCCCGAATTGAAGTCCCCATTCCAGGTAATGAGACGATGCAAAACTTTTCTACCAAATTGGACATCAACGTGGGAGGGGGGACCCATTTCTCTCCAGTGGCCCCAGCCAGTACACCTGTGTGCTCAACGCCCGGTTGCCTTCGACAGATGCGAAGTTCCTGCTACAAGTAGTCCTCAACTTACAACCGTTCTTTTAGTGACCGTTCAAAGTTGCGACGGCACTGAATAATGGGACCTGAGACCCTTTTCCACACTTACGACCCCTGCAGCCTCCCCGGGATCAGGAGATCAAAATTCTGTCACTTGGCAACGGACTCGTATTTATGACGGTTGCCGTATCCTGGGGTCACGTGATCTCCTTTTGATCTCCCAAGTCAGTGGGAAGGCCAGACTCACTTAACAACCGGGTTACTAATTTCTCACCTGCAGTGACTCACTTAACAACCGAGGCAAGTAAAGTTTCAGAAGGGGACAAAACTACACTTAACAAATGTCTCACTTAACAAATGGCTCACTTTAACAACAGAAATGTTGGGTCGGTGGTGGTTGTAAGTCCGAGGACTATCTGCAGAAGGTCGTGGGCATTTTCCAGTCTGTTTCAATTTTCAATAGTAGCATATTTCTAAGCTGTTCCCAGAGAGCTGGGATGTTCATAGCAGCCTTTCTTACATCCTTACAATCACAAGTTCAGAAATAAAGGTGTATAAATCCTGAATATGGAACGAAGGCCCTGAAGAAACATTTATTCCCTGTTTGCGGAGGGATTGTGTTAGGCTGTGGCAGCAAAAAAAAAACCCCACAAAATGCCCTGAGGCACCTTATAGGCTAGCGAAAGCATTATGGCATAATATTACGATTTTAAGCAAAGAAGCTGGTCTTTTATTATCCCTTCTGCTCTTAAGGGCTTAAGGGATGCATTTCTGCGTTATGTTCCCTTCCGTGTTAAGTAGTTAGATAATAATAATAAAAATAATTTTATGAGCATGGGGAAAAAAACAACGGGCATTCTAGTTTTATCCAGAGCTATCTGTAGTGTCAACAACGCTCTTGGCCCAGCCCAGGATAGCTAGAGAAATTTAAGGAAGCACGGAAAAAATAGGTTTTAGAAAGGTGTTTTCATCGCCTCTCTGAGATAAACACAGAATCTGGGAAACGGGGGGAGGAATTTCCCAACCTCACCGATGGTGAAGGCAAGTTCCTCTTTGAATGACTTGAAACACACAACATCTTGGCTTCTTGCTACCCTGAATTAAGTTACCATCATGACTTACCTTTACATGGGTTTCTTGTCTCTTGATCCCTGCTCTCCTTTCTGTGCCTTTCCCAGCCTCTCTACAATCTCTCCCAGCTCTCGCCAAACAAAGGAGAGTTGAATTCATCTCCAAGCAAAATTTCTTGGGAGATTGATCGCTTTGGCCCCTTAATTTATCCATCATTTCAGAATTGCTCAGTGCTAAGCAGATCCCACTGAGACAGTTTGTTTGTATTTAAAGCTGCATTTACAATCGGCTCTGTATAGTCAGGGCCATGGTTTTCCCAGTTGCAATGTATGGCTGGGAAAGCTGGACCATAAGAAAGGCTGAGCGCCAAAGAATGGAGGCCTTTGAACTCTGGTGCTGGAGAAGACTCCTGCGAGTCCCCTGGACCGCAAGGCGATCCAACCGGTCAGTCCTGGAGGAGATCAACCCCGACTGGTCTTTAGAAGGCCAGATCCTGAAGTTGAAACTCAAATACTTTGGCCACCTAATGAGAAGGAAGGACTGACTGGAGAAGAGCCTGATGCTGGGAAAGATGGAGGGCAAGAGAAGAAGGGGACGACAAAGAAGGAGGGGGCTGGATGGAGTCACTGAAGCAGCAGGCGTGAGCTTCAATGGATTCCAGAAGATGGTAGAGGACAGGAAGGCCTGGAGGAACGTGGTCCATGGGGTCGCGATGGGTCGGACACGACTTCGCAACTAACAACAACTGTATTAATAGACCAGAGTTTCTCAACGGTGGTGACTTGAAGACGGGTGGACGTCAACTCCCAGAAGACCCCAGCCAGCACGGTTGAGGTCCATGCGTCTTCAAGCATTCTGAGAGTTGACGTCTACCCATCTTCAACTTTACAAGGTTGAGAAACACTGCTAGGAACGGTTCTATCGCAATCTGTCGTGTTCTTTGGCATCCCCTGCCAAGCTATCTCAAAAGAAGTTCACCCTTTTGCTACTATCATCATTTGCCCGTCTCCGTCAAGTTATTTGTGTCAATAACCACCTATTTTCATTTATGATCCTGAAAGAGAGCAGACTGGACCGTTGCCCGTTACTCGCGCTGGCTAGATGACCATCCGGCAGAGAAAGAGCGACTCATTTTAATACGGTCAGACATATATTTTATTTTTTTGGGGGGGGGGGAGAGAATGTTAATTTAGGAATATTTCAGAGTCTCGTATTTGACCACCACTGGTCTTCCTTGCCTGTTCTGGGTACAGAATGGCTGACATTCATAAACCAAAGCCAAACCACTCTGGCTCATAAACGCCTTCCTTATTTTCATCTTAGCAAGCAAGGTTGAAAAATTTGTCGTAATACAGTCGTGGCCAAAATTGTGGAAACCTTTTGGGAAAAGTGTGCAGTAGAAACGCCACCTTTGGTTAAGTTTCCACCCATTTTTCTTCTAATTTCCTTACAACTGTAGCCTTGTTCGCTTAATAATACTATTTTACATCGCTTTCTCGGCAACCAGTCAAGTCTTTGCACCATGACTTTAATTTTATTACGTTTTACAAGCTCACTAAATGAAAGAACACAAAAAAACCCCAACCAACTTGATAGCCATCACACAACACACTGACAAACGTCCTCCTCTCGGCTTCAATACGTGACATCGATAACTGAACCCTACTGTGATCTGATTGGCTCATCGCCACAACAAGAGGACACCCGATTGGGTCTCTAAACACTCACGCTCATTGGCTACCATCAGAGGAAGGAAAGCTACCTGAGATCAACCTAAGCAAGTTGTGCTTCCTTTTTCTGGTTATTTGGCTATAACTTTTCATAGAATACAGTACAGATAATTGAACAAACTTTGTTGCATTACATTCTTGATTAAATGATCTTTCCATTGATATATACTTCCCCCCCCCCAAAGTGGTGTTATTAGCCATCAAACCTCAAAAATACACTTTTCCCAAAAGGTTTCCACAATTTTGGCCACTCCTGTAGAGCTCCGATGCACCCTCTGATGAACCGCATCGATCCAGTTCTCACAAAAGTTCTCGGCTCTTTCGTTGTTTCTGCAGACTGCTTTAACGATTTGGAGCCAGTCAACGGAAGCACAGATTTTAGCGCCTTTTATCTGTATTACAACTGCTTCTTAGCAGGTCCCTTGTGAGCTTTTGTCGTTTTCTCCCACTCCTTCCTTCCCCCCTTCTCTCTTTTTGTCTTGTTCTTCGTGTTGTTTGGCCTGTTAAAAACTTTTAAAAAGTTAAAAATCGCTCGGTCTCACACCCTGGTATTTGAACTCGGCACCTTTTTAAGAGGTGTGGACTTCAACTCCCAGAATTCTCCACCGGGGGAAATTCTCCACTGGGGAATCCTGGGAGTTGAAGTCCACGCATCTGAAACGGGGCCAGGTTTGAAAGACGACTGTTTTAGTCCTTAGCTACGAGGGCCAGTTTTTGTAAGGCGAGTGTCTTTTGGCGTAATTACAGAACGCTTAACTGCTTCTGTTTGCACGGTGTGACCTCTGCCGTCATCTCTCCACGTTTACACACATTCAGGGGTTGCCTTACACACACACACAAAAATGCAGAGCCAAGGGGGAAGCCAGGTTCACGTAACATCCGTGTTACTAACTTAGCAACCTGCAGTGATTCGCTTAACAACGGTGGCAGGAAAGGTCATAAAGTGGGACGAAACTCACTTAACAAATGGCTCTTAGCAACGGAAAGTTTGGGCTCAATTGTGGTTGTAAGTCAAGGACTACCTGAACACACTCTCTCTCTCACACACACACACACACATAGGAGAGGGAGGGAGGGAGGGAGGGAGAGAGGGGGGAGTGGGAAAGAGAGAGAGAGAGAGAGAGAGGAAGGAGGGAAAGAGAGGAAGGAGAGGGAAAGAGAGGAGGGAACGAGGGAGGAGAAAGAGAGGGAAAGAGGAAAGAGGGAGAGGGAAAGAGAGGGAGAGGAGAGGGGGAAGACAGAGGAGAGGGAAAGGGGGGAAGAGAGAGGAGAGGGAAAGAGGAGAGGAGAGGGAAAGAGGAGAGGGAGGAGAAAGGGAGAGGGGAGAGAGGGAGAGGGAGGAGAAAGAGGGGGAAAGGGAGAGAGAGGAAGGAGGGAAAGAGAGAGGAAGGAGAGGGAAAGAGAGGAGAGGGAAAGGGAGGAGAGAGAGGGAAAGAGTAAAGAGGGAGAGGAAAAGAGGAGGGAGAGGGAAAGAGGAGAGAGGGAAAGAGGGAGAGGAGAGAGAGGAGAGGGAAAGGGGGGAAGAGAGAAAGAGGAGAGGAGAGAGGGAGAGGAGAGAGGGAAAGAGGGAGGAGAAAGAGAGGGAGGAGAGGGAGAGGAGGAGGAGAAAGAGGGAGGGGAAGAGGGAGAGGGAATGAGGAGAGAGGGAGGAGAGGGAAAGAGGGAAAGCGAGGGAAAGAGGGAGAGAGAGGGGGGGAGGGAAAGAGAGGGAAAGGGGGGGAAGAGAGAGAATGAGAATGCCAGGGTGTAACAATAAGGTCAGTTAGTTTAGACCTAAGCAACAAAGAAACAAACCCTTTGAGAGCTACAGTAGTCTTAGTTTTATAATAACGGGAAAAAGTCTCATGCCGGTCTATTTTCCCTTGGAGCAGGGGGGCCCTGGAAGCCTACGTCCAATCCGTAAGAAGCAGAGAAGGCAAAGAATTTGCCCCGGTCTATCCCGTAATGGTGCAGCTGCTGCAGAAAGCACTCAACGCTCTCCCGTAAATGGCTTCCTGCAAAACACGCTGGCAGCCCGTGATCAGCAAATACGGTATAACGCCTGACTTCGTACCAGGAGCATCTCTTTTCAGACTTGTTGACCCACGCACAGTTGACAGCCTGTTTGACTTTCGTACTCAAATGCATTCTGCAATTCTGCATCTCTCAGCTTTTTCTAAATGGTATTTTTTTTTTATATTTTCTGGTTTTAATTCAAAAACCAAACATTTCTGTTCCAAAAGGCTTTTTTTCCCCCCCCCTGCACTGGCAAAAAACAGGCTAATCCTAAATTGACAAGGAAAAAAAATACTCTTGGATTTAAGGTTTTCTTTTCAGCCACCCGTTCTGGAGTTTGATAATATATACAAGTTGGCTGATAAAAATATTTCAGATTACTTCAGCGTTAACGTGTACGATGTTATAACTGGAAATGGAATTAAAATATTTCTACCTGTCCTTTTTTTTTTCAAGCACTCCCTTCAGTTGAGCGATCGGTAACATCAACACACGAGACGTGACTGTGATAACTTCGTATATTTTATATAGAGAAAATATAGAAGAATAATTTTTTTTACAATTTATTTGAAATAATACAAGAGTACAGTGTGCAAAATCATAGGAGCAAAAAACATGTAAGACGTACATATCAGGTGCTGAAATTTTCTGGTGATTCTTGGCAGAAACCACACTATATTTTAGTAATATTAAAAGCTATGTTTTTGTAAATGTTCACAGCAAAAAGTTAGCCATAGATCGAATATATCTGCTCTGTTTTTAGATAGATGGAGGGGAGGGGGGGAGGAAAAAAATAATAATAAAAGTAAAGTGCAAATATTGCACCGAAAATAAGTGCAAGGTTTGTCCCCCACCGTAAAAAAAAGGATGTGGGCAAAAATAAAATCTTTTAAAATACGCAACGTAGGAGAGAAAAAAAATTAACAATTAAATGAAGGTATTAACGAAAGCACCATTCGTCTTGAACAATGCAATCTGCTCGCGGGTTTAATCTTTTCCAATGCAGCTCAGTCTGGGAAGGCACCCCAAATATAAATTATCAATGCGACACCTTCCCCTATAGAAAACAATCTGCTACATATAGTGTACGTTATACTATTCGCTTTGCCACATGTTTCGATACTCCGTTGGCACTGGGCAAACGAGAAGTTCATCTATCATTGTCAGAAAATCCCCAGCTTGCAAAAAATTTGTAGTTAATTACATAGTTTGTGCAATACGTATTAATCAGCAATAGGAATTGTACTATAAACAGATGTTAACGTGTTCCAAACTTCCCCTTTTTGTGCATTTTTTTTTTTGTCCTTAGAAAACAAAAAAAAAACTTTTTATACAAATCTCCTCTTTTCTTCCTAATATTCCTTAGCACCACAGGATATCCGTATTCAAGCCTGTTACACCTGATAAGATATATATATGTAGTTTGGAAGGAAAATAATAATAATAATAAGGCAATTTGGTTGTTGGTTGTTGTTGTTGTTGTTTTAAAAAAAAATACGTTGATACTTTTAGCTTGCTTAACGCCCTACTGTAATAAGCAAAACTTCATTCCTAAGTGACCCCGTGATGCCCGTGTTATTATAGCCACGCCGCCAACAACGAATCACGAAGCCTTGATCGTGCCTTCCACCACCACGGATTGATTAGAATTCGAACTCGGTGCTACTGGGACCCCTGCGAAGGAAGACAAGACAGATGAAAAACGCTCATTTAAAGCCAAAAGACGAAGGACGACATCGGTGCGCGGAAATACGAATTACGTGTTCTTGGTCCAATTTTCTTAACAGCCCCCCCCCCCAAAAAAATATTAAGTGGGAAGTAAGAGGTACAATTTCAACTACAGATAGTCCTCGGCTTGCAACAGTTCACTTAGGCTGACAAACTTCAACGTTGCCGTGACCCTTTTCACTGTACCAGTCACAGATGAAGACCATCCAGAAGACCTTATTGGGATTGTCACAATGAGAAGGTTCCTAAGGGACCTTGTCCTCTCCCTCAGAGGAAGATCTAGACCTGTAAAGCATCCTTTCCACCTCCGAACATCTTACGCCCTAAAATGATTGTCAAAGAAGGGGTAAGACGTAGTCTACAAGAGAGGTCCCCAACCTTTGGGGCACCAGGTACCGGTTCCGTGGAGAGAGGTTTTTCCACGGACCGGAGGGGGGCATGGTTTCGCGTGCTGCCTGCATCCCGCGGATAGGGCTTTGCTTGTTTGTGTGGACCGGTTTCAGGCATGCTGTGAACCAGTGCGGTCCATGGCCCAGGGGTTGCAGAGCCCCGTTTTACAGTACACCAAGATCTATCTATCTATCTATCTATCTATCTATCTATCTATCTATCTATCTATCTATCTATCTATCTATCTATCTATCTATCTATCTATCTATCTATCTATCTATCTATCTATATCTATCATCTATCTGTCTCTATCATCTATCTATATCTATTATCTATATCTATCATCTATCTATCTATCTATATCATCTATATCATCTATCTATCTATCTATCTATCATCTATCTATCTATCTATATCATCTATATCATCTATCTATCTATCTATCTATCATCTATCTATTGAGATAGATAGATAGAGAGAGAGAGAGACAGAGAGATAGGAAAGGGTGACAGTCGAAGACAACGTACTGAATTTGTTCGTTTCCGTTTCCAGCAATCAGGATTCAAACGTTTTTGTTCTTCAGCCAAGGCCTTGGCTTCTAACGTGTACATCCGTCTTTCCTCGTTTTTCATTTTCTTCCACCTGTCTCCAAGTATGACACTTATGGCTCTGCAGAAGAAATATATCAGGAGAAATATATCAGTTCAAGCCAGCAATAATAGAATGTCAATTTCCCTATTTCCTTACTGGGAAGGGGGGGGGGAATAGATCCAGGAAACGCTTCAGCACTTGATTATTTCTATCCTCGGTGCATTTTTTTTTTAAACTATTCCATAATACTCTGATCGTAAGCGGGAGTTGTGCAACTCTTTGAGATGACTGTTTTTGGCGGTTACGTCTAGGATTATGTTTTAAAAGCCTTCACAAAACCGGAGAGATGTTTTTTCGGGAACATTGTACACCTCTCGACCTCGGCGCTGAGTTGGAATACACAGGTCGCCCTCAACTTACAACAGTTCGTTTAGTGGCCGTTCAAAGTGACAACGGTATGAGAAAAAGCAACTTTTTGACACGACCATTGCAGCATCCTCATAGCCATGTGGTTAAAATTCAGACCCTTGGCAACGGGTTCGTTTTGGTGACGGTTGCCGTGTCCCAGGGGGGTCACGTGATCCCCTTTTGCGACCTTCCGACAAGCAAAGTCGACGGGGGAAGCCGGATTCACTTAACAACCATGTTGTTAACTTAACGACGGTAGCGATTGGCTTAACCGCTATGCCAAGAAAGCTCGTAAAACGGGGGCAAAACCCGCTTAGCGACTGTCTCGCTTAGCAACGTAAATTCTGGGCTCAATTGTTGTCGTAAGTCGAGGACTTCCTGTATTTCATCTAGGCCTCCAGTAAGGCTAGGTTGATGGACTAACAAGGAACAATTTGCACGTTTAATATTGTTCAACGACGCCCCGTCCATACACCTCTGTGAATTCGTTCTGCAGGAGAGTCAGGATGTCAATAACATCTGCCTAATTTTTTAATGGCCCAAATGATATAGCATGCCACTAAAAAGAAAGCCCAGAAGAGCTACACACGGTCCTCGGCTTACGACCACAATTGAGCAGAAAATGTATGTTTTGCCTAGACATTGAGTTTTATGCCCCGTTTTATGCCCTTTCTTGGCACAGTTTTTAAATGAATCACTGCAGTTGTTAGTAACCTGGTTGTTACGGGAATCTGGCTTCCCCATTAGGTCGCAAAAGAGGACACTGTAACCGTCGTAAGTATGAGTCAGTTGCCAAGCATCTGAATTATGATCACATAACCGTCGGGAGGCTACAATGGTTGTAAGTCCGAAAAACGGTCGTAAGTCACTTTTTCGTCGGCGTAGTAGCTTCCTTAAACAAAACTGTAAATTAAGTCATTAAACAAAACTGTAAATTAAGTTTTGTCCCATTTTACGATTTATCTCGCCGCGTTTGTTAAGAGAATCGTAGAAGTTGTTAAATCAGGAACACGGTGGTTAAGTTAATCTGACTTCCCCATTTGACTACCTCTGCTATTTGTCAGTTTTTTTCATTTTAATAGAGTTTATCTAGAGTCTATTTACTGGCATCTAGCCTAACTCCATCCCTATAATGTTTGGAGCCATTCAATGATAAAATCCAAGCTAGATATGTAAGCTTGCGTAAATTGAAATACCTGGATGCATTTCGCTCGCTAGGGGTTTTTTTTCCTGCTCATTACATTTCAAGTTGAAAGTACACATTTTGCGGTCTAAAATAATCTAAAGATTATTTAGTTGCAAAATCTAAAGACAACGAATCTTTATTTCATCAACAGCAGGCCAGAGGTGAATATACATCATATATACATATGTACATCAGAACGAGGAGGTCCTTTACCTGTTATCTTTTCCTGGGTACATTTGAGTATATTCCACTCTGTATTTTTTGGCAAAAAGCATGAAGGCATTCATTGGTCTTTTGCATTTGTTGGGGGAAGTGGCACTAACAGTACTTGCAGTCCCTGAGTTGTGGTTTTTGCCCGATTTACTGAACACGGAGGAGGTCTGTG